AGCTCACCGTGGGGAGCGCCGATCCTTTTTGTCAAGAAAAAGGATGGTTCACACCGGATGTGCATTGATTACCGGGAGATGAACAAGTTGACGCTAAAGAACCGTTATCCACTTCCGAGGATCGATGATTTATTCGATCAGCTGCAGGGGGCATCTTGGTTTTCCAAGATTGATTTGAGATCCGGATATCACCAGATGAGAGTATGCGAGGATGATATTCAGAAGACGGCCTTTAGAACTCGTTATGGGCATTACGAGTTCGTGGTGATGCCTTTCGGGCTCACCAACGCACCGACGACATTAATGGATCTCATGAACCGGGTGTGCAGGCCTATGTTGGACCGGTCGGTGATCGTGTTCATCGACAGTATCTTCGTATTATTCGAGATACAGAGAGCAGCATGAGGAGAATCTGCGAGAGGTTCTTGGGGTTTTGAGGTTGGAGAGGTTGTATCCCAAATTCTCCAAGTGTGATTTCTGGTTACGAGAGGTCCAGTTCCTGGGACATCTCGTTAATCAGAATGGGATATTGGTCGATCCGGCCAAGGTTGAGGCGGTTATATGGTGGGAGGTACCGAGATCCCCATCCGAGATCAGGAGTTTTCTGGGATTGGCCGGCTACTACCGGAGATTTATCGGGGATTTCTCCAAGATTGCGGTTCCTCTCACCAGATTGTCCCGGAAGGGAGTTTCTTTTGTTTGGGGGCCTAAGAAGCAGGCATCATTCGAGATTCTTCGCCAGAGATTGTGCGAAGCTTCGGTGTTAGCCCTTCCGGAAGGAGTGGAGGACTTTGTAGTCTATTGCGATGCGTCTATATCAGGGTTGGGTGCAATGTTGACAGAGGAGTCACGTGATAGCATATGCTTCGAGGCAGCTGAAGCCTCACGAGACGAGGTATCCCACCCATGATTTGGAGTTAGGGGCGGTAGTGTTCGCCTTCAAGATTTATGGCGTTCGGTGTACCATATACATGGACCACAAGAGCCTGAAGTATCTCATGGATCAGCCCAACCTAAATATGAGACAGAGGAGGTGGTTGGATGTGGTGAAAGACTATGACTGCGAGATCTTGTACCATCCGGGCAAGGCTAATGTGGTAGCCGACGCCTTGAGCCGTAGATCAGAGGGTGCTCCGATCCGAGATGTGTGTATGAGGATGATAGTGATGACTCGAGTCTTAGATACCATTCGAGAGGTCCATGTAGAGGCCGTGAGACCGGAGAACCGCAAGAAGGAGCGGGTGATTGGGCAGGTGTCTGAGCTTATGATGGATAGTCGAGGGCTTATGACTTTCCGAGGGCGGATTTGGGTGCCCTATACTGGCGGAGCTCGCCGTATCCTGATGGAGGAGGCGCATAGATCGATATTCTCGATCCAACCAGGAGCCACTAAGATGTACTTGGACCTGAAGAGAGATTATTGGTGGCCCTGTATGAAGAGAGACGTGGCTTGGGTAGTCGAGAGATGCTTGACCTGTCGTCGGGTTAAGGCCGAGACGCTGGCACTTGCAGCCACTAGAGGTTCCCCAGTGGAAGTGGGAATAGATTTCCATGGATTTTATCACCAAATTGCCGAGGACCGCGCGAGGTGTCGACGCGATTTGGGTAATTGTGTACCGGTTGACGAAAAGCGCTCACTTCCTTGCCATTAGTGAGAGTTCTTCTGCAGAGAGACTGGCCGAGATATATGTAAGAGAGGTGGTAACTCGACATGGAGTGCCGACATCGATAGTGTTAGATCGGGATGTGCGCTTTACTTCCAGGTTCTGGAAGAAGTTTCATGAGGAGTTGGCTACACGATTGCACTTCAGTACAGCCTACCACCCACAGACAGACGGGCAGAGTGAGCGGATGATTCAGACGCTCGAGGACATGCTTCGAGCATGTGTTATGGACTTTGGTGGAAGTTGGGACACATATCTGCCCTTGGCTGAGTTTTCTTACAACAACAACCACCACTCCAGTATTGGTATGCCTCCTTTTGAGCTTCTTTATAGGAGGAGGTGTCAGACTCATATCTGTTGGGGAGAGGTAGGGCAGCGAGTGATGGGTAGCACTGAGATAGTGCTCAAGACGACTGAGCAGATTCAGCAGGTCAGACAGAGGTTACTGACGACCCAGAGTCGCAAGAAGAGTTACGCAGACAGGAGACAGTCCGAGCTTGAGTTTCAAGTTGGAGATTTTGTCCTCCTGAGGGTATCCCCATGGAAAGGGGGTGATCCGATTCAGGAAAAGGGGCAAGCTGGGTCCCCGATACATCGGTCCTTTCAGGGTGCCGCCAGAGTGGGTAAGGTAGCGTACCGTTTGGAGCTACATGCGGAGTTGAGTCAGATTCATAACACCTTCCACGTGTCTCAGCTGAGGAAGTGTGTAGCCGATGAGACGGCAGTTTTGCCATTAGAGGACATTCAGGTGGATGCGAGCCTGAATTATATTGAGAGACCGATTGCGATCATGGATCGAAAGGTGAAGGTTCTGAGGAACAAAGAGGTACCCCTGGTTCAGGTCCAGTGGCAACATCGAAGAGGGTCCGAGTTGACTTGGGAGCCGGAGTTCGAGATGCGAGAGCAGTATCCAGAGTTATTTCCAGATCATGACTTCGAGGGCGAAGTCTGATTCTAGTGGGGGATAATTGTAACATCCGGACTTCCAGGTATATCGTTTATTTATTTAATTATTTTGAGGAATATTGAGCTACTCGACGAGTCGGTGCTACAACTCGTCGAGTAGAGTCGCGATGTGCCACGTGGGATTAATGACCTACTCGAGTTTGGGGCCTATTTAAGGGCACTTATAGCCTCATTTGCGGCTATACTTCCCTAAGAGTAAACCCTAATCGGCCTGTGAGCTTAGAGAGAGAGTTTTGAGCTAACCTTGAGTGTTTGGTGCATCTTTTGAAGAGAAGAGAAGGATTTCCAAGCCAAAGGACGAGAAGGAGTTGCTAGATCCGTGGCTATTTCACCTCAGAGCTTCGGGGAAAGGTATAAAGCTTGCACCTTTCTCATTTTGTTGAGTAGATCTCATGATTTTGGGAGTTTAGGGCTTTTTCTATCTAAACTGAGGACCTAGAGTGTTTTAAGTTCATATAAAGGTTTGAACTTCAGATCTGGACCATGTGAGGTCCCTAGAGTCCAAAAGTCCCTGCGTTATTCAGCCATAATAATGATCTTGAGTGAAAAACTGTTTTTAAGGTATGTTTTGGCATTTCAAGCCCTAAGTGCCATGCATGGACGTAAAGCCTGTGACTTTACGTGATAAACTAGCCTTAAGAGTGTAGATCTAGAGTTTGGGAAGGTTTTTTTTTGCCTTGAAATCGTCTGAATGAGAAAAGAGTCTGAATGGACTCACCAAGTCTAAGAGCCGACTCAACGAGTTGGTTAGGGTTTGTCCCGATGAGCTGGCTATGCTGTGACTCGGCGAGTTAGGGGTTAACTCGACGAGCTGGATCTTCATGAAGACTTCTGAGGGACGACTGGACTCGACGAGTCACAAGAGTACACTCGGCGAGTCAGGTCAAACTGGGGACTGTTGACTCGAGATTGACTTCTGTTGACTTTAGGGTTTGGTCAACATAAGTATTGGAGACCATGGAGGGGTAAAATGGTCTTTTTCCCATTACAAGAGTTAGAGAGAATAAAATAGCAACATTTGGTGTATTTGAGTATGAGTGGAGTATTGATTAGAGATACTTATCCAATGTGTTAGGCGGAAGCTAGTTCGAGATTTCCGAGTACGAGACTTTTACTTGCTAGCTTACGAGGTGAGTCTTCTCACTATACTTACCAAGAGTGGTACCTTTGCGTGATTGAGCAGTCTTATGTGCTTATCTGTGTTTTGTGATATTCTGCATGACGTATTTGTGATTTATGCTGAATATTGTTTTCATGAGCTTATTGAGTTGGGGCCGGAGGGTCCCACTGCGACACATTGACCGGAGGGTCTTATCTGAGTATAGCCATGAGAGGCTACTGAGATGTGTGTGGTATTTTGGGGAACTCACTAAGCTTTGTGCTTACCGTGTTATGTATTATGTGTTTCAGGTACTTCTAAGGATCACGGGAAGGCGCCGGCTTGATTGTACACACACATCAGCGATTGAGTTATGATTCAGAGGATCCTGGAGTTTTGATATACGAACAACTTTTGATATAAGATTTGATAATTTGACATTGTGACATTTTGTGGTTTTATTATTGAGATAAATGTGTTTTTAAATTGAAAAATTTGGTTTGAAAGTTTACGTTGTTACAGTTGTGGGCTGTGAGTATTCCATCCCGAGGATGATTGGACTCATAGTATGTGGGCATTCCAACCTGTTGGTTGTGGGCCTGGGGTATTCCATCCCGAGGATGACTGGACCCATAGTATGCTGTTTATGATTATATGTGTATTATTGTGTGTATGGGTATTTTTGGGGAACTCACTAAGCTCTCGGACTTACAGTTTCAGTTTATTGTTTCAGGTACATCAGGGGATCACGGCAAGGCAAAGGCGTGATCGTACTGCTCCTCATCTTTTATGACTTTGTTTCTGGGAGACTCTGATATAGACTATTTTGAAAACAAATTTGTAATAACTATTGGCTTTTAAATGTTTTAAAAAGTTTAAATTTGGCATAATTCAATGGGTGTTACACATCTGTAGTTTGCAAAAAAAAACTATTTGTTTTTAAACAAACAAGCCATATGTACAAACACACATTGACCACATTGATCATAAATATATGATAAACCAAACAAACCATATGTACAAACACACATTAACCACATTGATTTATATATAGTTAAGAGAAATTAAATATGCTCATACCTTTTGTTCCTACCAATCATCTTACCCATTTAAATGATGACATGTGTCATATTAGTATCCTAAAATATCATTAAAAGAGCATTAAATGTTACACATGTCACCATTTTATTGAGTAGGAGGATATGTATGAACAAAAAGTAAGAAGATATTTAATTTCTCTATAGTTAAACAAAGTGATAGTGACAGACACAATGGTGGTGGTAGCAGTAACGACGACGAAGGTGGTGGTGGAGGTGGAAGAGAATAGTTGAAGAAGAAAACGTGAAAAAATACGACTGTTTTTTTTTCAGGTTAGAAAGTCTACAAGATTTAAAATGCTTTTTCCGTCTCTTCTACAAAAAGAGGAGACACATACCTTTTTACACTTGCGGTCTTCTAAACTTCTCTTTAGTAAAAAGGTTTGATTACTCCTAGACAAAAAAGATCAATACGAGCTTCTAAGGAAAAAAACAAACACCATCTAAATTAAACTAAAGTTGTACATTAATTTCCATAATTGGAAATATTGGTCCCTTAAACATTGAAGTTTATATTTAACATAAGTTGACATTCCATTATACATTCTAAGCCCCTTAACATTATATATATATATATATATATATATATATATATATATATATATATATATATATATGTTGGGGTCGGAAATGGTATCGACAAAGTCCTCGCACGATGGCCTGGAGTGTCGCAATCGGATGCATGGTTCTGGAGGGCTGAATGCGCTATATGGGTAAGGTTGCGCTCTTTCTAACACCAATTGGTTTTAGATCAACCGGTAGCGCTGATGCTCAATAATATATATATATATATATATATATATATATATATATATATATATATATATATATATATATATATATTAAAGCACATGGGATGTTTGAATAGGGATCTTTTCGGCTTCTATTTTTGACACATAACTTTTGACTCATTCTGTGGCCACAAAAGTTTGACCCATTCGTTCAGATATTTGTCAAACCCTTCACCGACTCTATTCACCGCCATCGAATTTATTGTCTTCATCTTTCCAGTCTCTTCTCTTATTCACCATCTCCTCCACCCACTTTCACCACCACCGTCGCGCTGTTCGACTCAGGCTTAAAACCACCTCACTGTCGTTTGTACCCTCCGGTTCATCTCCATCTTCTCCAAATCCTCGATTAGGGCTTCTCTCCACCTTGATCCTTCGCTACTTCTGACTCTTAGGAGACGTTTTTGTTTCAGGCTTAAAACCACCTCCACACCCTCTGTGAACATTAGAAGCCACCACTAAACCGGCTGTTGCAGTTGTCCTCCGTAAACCACTACCAATTGTTGTTTTTGTTTTTGGATTGTCGGTTTCTAGGCAACGGGAAGGCTAAAATCGCACGCCAAGGAAGCGGTAACACGTCCACACAACCTGTTATCCCGATTTTCCTCCACCTAAAGTTATCATAGCGTCGACTAATCTGAAAACGTATTCTAAATAGCTTCAACTCTCTTAATACCCGCCGTGTTGGCCATCTGCGACGGAGATAGTGAGGTCGGCGACGGTACTCCTGCTCTGCCGCCTACGCTGCCTCTGATGTCCACGATCAATGGTCCACCGCCCTTCTTGGTCAAGACTTACGATATGGTGGATGATCCTGCTACCGATAAGGTTCTTCCCTTTGCGCGCTACGAATAACAACTTCATCGTCTGGGACCCTCCTAAGTTCGGTAAGGACCTTTTTCCCAAATACCTCAAGCATAATAACTTCTCTTGTTTTTTTTCGCCAGCTTAACACTTATGTATCATCATGTTTCCCTTTCTATTGAATTTTCAGTTCCTGTTGACATGATTCTCTGATTGCTCTTGTATTTGATTGGTTATGTGTGTAATTGCGTTAAATGACTATATGTCAACAGATTTGTAAACTTGAATCACTTTTCTCGTATGATGATCCACTAGGTTAAGAGTTAAAAGTTTTAGGGAAAGAAAGACCAACTGTTCATCTTCTGGTTGCCTGGAAATATGTAGACTGTAGAGTTGTGAAAGATCTTATTACTGAATATTTCTGAGTGTATAAAGTAATACCAAAAAACAGAGTATCGTTCACTATGTAACATCAATGCTTATCTTTGTAATTGGGCAAATAGATACCACCAACAGGGTATCATCTTCCTAATAATGTGAGGTTTCAGGAAACACAAATCATGAAATGTAAAACCCTATTTTCAGATTCATCTTTGTGGTTGTTAGATTACATTCTCGAGTATCGGTTATGCACTTCTGGTGTCTATGTTGGATTTTCAGTGAATCTTGTAGGCTGAATTAGTTTGAAATTGTTACTTTCCAGTCAGAAAGTGCCTTCTTTGTCTTTTTTCTTCATACCATAATCAGAAAATGCACTCGATCCTTTGTGGTTACCTTTTTATTAGTTTGAATCATATCTGTATAAAGCAATAGCAGCTCTAAAACATCACATTAATGATACTGATATCATTTACCTTCTTATTTCCTTTTTCTAATTTGTTTAGATCATGAACCTCTATAATAGTAACTAAATCATAGAGAAAACAATATAAGATTAGATAATGTTGGTTTCATTTCTCTCTCTTCTGATATATATATATATATATATATATATATATATATATATATATATATATATATATATATATATATATATATATATAAACCCTATTTCATAGTTTGATCCTCATTCTATTCTTTCTTTTTGAGGTGTTTACAAATAGGGGTTTCAAAAAGTCGACCATGATGGATGTGAATATGCAAACGAAGGATTCCTATGAGGCCAAAAACATTTGCTCAAAATCATTTTGGAGTTGGATTATCTCTTTTGACTTTTGCAGCACTTGGTTATGGGATTTCATTTGACTTTTGGTCAATGACAATCTGCATAATGTGAGTTGACTATTTTATTTTTCAAACACAAATTTGACTTCATAGTTTTTCTTACTCATTAGATTAAATCACCCTACCGACTTTTCAGGTTACTTGGTGTTGTTGAGGCTTCATTCATTACTCTTACAACTTCGTTTATTGACGACAATACCCACGTAACTCACATTCCATCTTTTTTTTGACCGATCACCCATTATTTGTACATATGACGGAAATACCTCTGTATTCAAATAACTTTTTTTTACAGAGAACAACTCCGTTGGGAATCTTTTACATGTGCATACCAACAGGAGTGTTACGTTTACGGTGGATGAGTAAATAACTATAATTTTTTTTATTTTACCTTATTTTAATTATAGTAAAAAAAGTGTAAATATAATTGTAAACAGTGAAAATAACGACTTTTATTTATTTATTTTCGTGTTTAGTTTGGAGATGAATTTACGTGGAGGTATGCTTTTTTAGTGATGCGATTTTGATGTTGCCTTCTGCTACGCAAATGAAAGGTATTTTTTTTTAAATATAACATATTTTTAACCATTTGGTGTTACTAATAAAATTTAAAAATACAGGTTTTTCTCCACCAGTGATGAAATAATCATTGACAACTCCAGAGACAAATGATATAGAAATTGAAGGTGCTCCATATTACTTTTTGTATTTTATTTATTTATTAATATACATTTCTTTTAATAATTATTTTATAAAAATATTTGTATCAAGACAGTTATTACAACAATGACCCCTTCAAAGAAACATAGTGGCAATTCAGCGTTCTCTAGAAAATCAATATTATAACTCAATAGACATTAGACTGAGTTATGGAAACGATGTATGTAAGATAGATTTTTGTTAATACCTTTACTCTGAATTCAACTTTCTGAATATTAGTATTAGATTCTGTAAAAACAACATTTTATAAAGAAGTATAACATAGAAGGTCTTAAAGACATACATAATTACAATTCTATTGAACTTATCTATGAGTAACAACGTTTATAAATATTTGTAGGGGTTTTATTGTAATTTTCCCCTCACTGTTTAGTTCAGTTTTCCAAGGATTACTCTGCAATTTTAGTTTTTGAATTTCTTTTAACAACCTACTATTTTGTCCCACTTTTATAAACCTTTTTAAGTACAATGCCTTAATTGTAAAATAAGTAAACGTACAATTATGATTCTGTAATGTTTTTCTATATAAGGTCTAATTATGTAAGCAAGATGGACCATTTTTGTACTGTTTTTATACTATGGAGAGCAAGTCGGTAATCTTTTCGTTTTTCTGTCACAAGGACCAATTTTGAGATCATTTTCTGCACATGGACTATTTCTGTAAATACATAACTCAATACTCTCATACATTACTTTTGTTCTGGTCTTTATTGCTATTATCGAATTGGGGGTTAATTTCGAATTTTCTTACTTTAGATTGTGTGATTATAATTTGTTACATGCATTAACAATCTTGAAGCAAAGTGGAGTGCAATCCGAGAGTGGTCCAAGGATGGAGTCATCCATTCCGATTAAGGTGAAGCTGTCCAGTCAACGAAAATGGAATGATGTTGCGTCCCACGGTGACCATGGCCCACTACCTCCAGAATTCAATTCACCAACAAAGTTTGTTGAGGATAATACTGTAAAAAGACATGAAACCAAATCCATACCTGGTAAGTTTACAAAAATAGTGACCAGTGGAAAACAACCCACACCAACTGACGACCTTCACACCAGTCTGCAAACAATCAACAACCTCAACTTTCAAATCCTTCACCTTAAGAACACTGATCTCCTGCACTTCTTCCGACCACCTCATGAAGGAAAGCTTAAATCACTTCATCACACTTTACAGAGACAACCATCACTATGCTCCAAGACATGGTCCAAATTCTGGAGGCTAGAAACATATAACCAAAAACCAAGTGAAACGAAGCAGTTCATCGTCCCCTTTTTTTTTTTTTTTTTTTTTTTTTTTTTTTTTTTTTTCTAAAAGCAGTTGTTTATCTATATTACCCTACATAGATATGTCTGTGTAAACATGGTAATATCTACTTCTATGCCAACAACCTTCATCTATATTTAACGCAATACAACCTCTTAGTCTAAATTAGCAACAATGCCCTTTATTTTTTTCTAAAAAGAATGACCCGTGCAACGCACAGGCCTTTTCCTAGTTTATTTTAAATCTAGATGTTAAAATTCTTACAGTTTAAGTCCATATTTTTAAGTGAATTTAATCGAGTATCATTCATTCATTCCTTAACTCTCAGTGTCAAGCTTTTAACTTCAACTTTCCTAAAAATTAATTAATTGTTAATTTAACTATATGAACTTAACTAAAATTGATTAGGAAGCAAACATTGCTGTATATTATATATATTTTCACATAAAAGCTAAAACTCCTAACATCAAAATTACGGATGTTACATCAATAGATTAGGAACCAAACATTATTTAAGAAACCAATAAAGAGATGAAAAAGACATTACTGTGTATGCCTAATGATTTAGAGTTTACAAAGATTAAATTGTCCTTAGATGGGAGAAAAATTGTAACATTCACAAATGAGGTTTTCTTTATTCATGTACCCCTAATTTCCATTTCTACACCAATTTTTTGTCTTTTGTTATTTTTATTGTTTTTTTTTCGTCCTTTTGTTGTCCTATTTGTTGTTGTTGCTGTTTTTTTTTATCTTTTTTTATTTTTTTTGTTTTTTTTGATTTTTTTTTTTTAATAAATATGTTATTATTATTATTATTATTATTAAAAATATTTTTTGTTCGTTCGGACTATTTTTGTGTTATTTTTTTTCATTTAGACTATCACTTTGTTACTTTTTCCGTTCAGACTATCTATGTATTATTTTTTCGTTCGGATTATCCCTATTTTATTTTTCCGTACCGACTATCCCTGCATTGTTTTTCCGTTCCGACTATCTTTGTGTTATTTTTCCGTTCGGAATATTCATATATTATTTTTTTCATTCAGACTATCTCTGTGTTAATTTTTCGTTCCGACTATCTTTGTGTTATTTTTTGTCTTCACTTCCCTTACATTGTGTTATTTTTTTTCATTCGAACTACGGTTGTGTTATATTTTTCGGTGGACTATTAAAGAGACATTAAATCAAATCAATTATTTAAAATAATAATAATAATAATAATAATAATAATAATAAAAGACAACAAAAGACAAAAGACAAAACAAAAAAGAAGAAAAAAACAAAATATGTCAAATCAAAATGGGTTTTAAAAACAATAAAATAACAAAAAAGGGTGCATAATTCTATGTATTAGGGGCGGATACATTAACACCCTTCACAAATTTAAGGTTAATCATCTTTAACCTTATAATTTTTTTACTTTAATACTTTGGAATTAATTTAAACTAGAAAAAATTCCCCGGCGTTGCCAGGGTCGGAAGGTATTGCTTTGTAAAGTAAAGTAGCATGTTGGTTGCTTTTTGTCCGTTAATGTGAGGGTAATTTGGTATTTTCAGGTAGTAGGGACTGAATTTGTCATCATGGGTAAACCATATGGACCATTTATGTAATTTTGTCGTCAAATTCAACAAAACCTAATGACCATTTATGTAAAATAAACCAATTCCTTACTGTTCATAAATGCTTTTACACATTAAAAAAACCCATTAATTAAAGAAGTGACGATAAAAAAAAATGGGAATCGTTTTAAGCAAAAGCGGAGCGAGAGAATTGAACGGAAGAAGTAAAAAACAATAACTTAGGGGAAAAGTGGCAACATGTAAAACAATTGAGGCAAAAGAGTAAAAAAAAAGTTGTAGAATTACCGTTTCATAAAATTGTTATCCTTTAAACAAAGTGACACACAAACAAAAATGGAGGGACCGAAAATGTAATTTAAGGGACCAAAAGTGGCAAAAATATCCCAGCTTTCTTTTTGTCCACAACTTTAATATATATATAATAATAGTTTCCACATATATAATATAAATAAAAAGAATATATAAATATATATATATATATATATACACACACACACACACACACCACACACACACACACATATATATATATATATATATATATATATATATATATATATATATATATAGGGAGATGATCAAATAAGAACATCTAAAAGGTTGAGAACGCGAGAACAGTTGTAGACCAATCATTTTATAAGGGCATAAATGGGATTTTACCATCTAATTAAATTATGATTTCCTAAATTTTAGTGATTATGTGTAACACCCTGTTTATTTAATAGATAAATAGATAAAATTTATGAAAGAGTAGTAGCCCTAAAATTCATAATGTTCAGTGAGACGTTGGTTCTGGGAGCCAAATGTTATAAATTGGATTATCCGAGATTTATTTTGTAAAGATTTTTAGAAGTCGGGGGTTAAAATGTAAATTTCGGGTTGGTTTCATAAATAATTATGAAGGCCGGGACTATTGGGTAATTATTGGGACTTAATTTGAAGAGATGTTGGTGGCTTAGGGGCTGGATGGTAACATATGGAGCCGAATTGTAATAATTTCAGAGGACATGGGCTGTTTAGTAAAATAATGGACTTAAGTTGGAGGGAATTTAGATGGCGAGGGTTAAAAAGGTAAAATATGGATTTATTATGAAAAGATTATGTAGGTGAGGGGGCTGGAAGTGTAAAGATGAAACAAGATTTTATGTCACGGGTATAACCCGCCACCCCCTCATGGAACCCTCATATATATTGTATTAAACCCAAACCCTAACCCTACTTATACATCAGCCGACATCCTTCCGGCGCCGCATCTCCGACTGTCGCCGCATAGTTGGGTTCGACCACCACCTTCGGACCTTTCTCAGCCGCTATTGCCACGACAAACATGACTACCGTCCCAACCTCCGCCACCCTGTCATCGAACGCCACCATAACCTTCTCTGCCGCCTCCAGTGAAGTCGTGAACGGCTGGAGAAGCCCCACCAAGAATGAAGGCGAAGCTGTGATCGGCGGGCACGAGTCGTGTACGATCGGAATGCTCGGTGAGACTATCTTCCATCTCCTTCATCCATTTTTCTAGCTGTTGGGGGCCGTAACCGCCGTTGGTCGCCATTTCAGTGGCGTTCCGACGATGTCCTGCCACCTTGTAGGTGGCTAAATGCATGTGTGTTGCCTTTAAGGGCCGCTTATGGAACTAATCGGAGTGTATGTGCGTTATTTTGCTCACAGGAATCAAAAGAACCGTTGCCACCACAATGAGGTGGTGGCTGTCATCGCAATTCCGCCGCCTGCTGCCATTCCTTCCACTTTCCTGCATCGCTGCTATCGTGAATTAGATGCTGCCGCCGCCGTGAGCCACCAAGTGGGTGGCTGGACTCTTGAACAAACCGGAATCGTGTGTTGGGTGAGTTTGTCTAGGTGGAAGATCAAGAATAGCCACCGCCACCACAGTGAGGTGGTGGCTGCCACCCTTTACCACCACCGGCCACCACTAGAGTGGTGGTGTGTGTGTGTTCATGTTAGTTAGTGCGTGTGTGTTTAGTTTTGGATTAAAGCATTGTAAAATTGTAATAGTGGCTAGAATAATGAAATGAAAACTCAAAACCACCACCGTGAGGTGGTGGCTGCCGCCTCCTGTCGCCACCGGCCGCCGTGTCGGGTGGCGATGTGCTTGCCTTGTTGAGTTTGATTCGTTTGGGATGCTTGAAACCCTAATGGGCCCAATAAAGCCCTAATTGACCTAAGAGCCCAAACATGTGACTAATGGGCCTAATGAACCTTAATTGATCAAAAGACCTAGCTATTGGGCCTATTGGGCTAAGATGGAGTTGGAAACCCTAATTAGGGTTTAGAAAACCCTAATATTGGATTTATGGGCTTGGACTTATCGGAACCCACATTTGGGCCATTGGAATGGAAGTGTGTATTAAGCCCAATCACACCATATGAGTTATTTAGAAGAGTGATGGACTTACTGGATTAAGTCCTTAATGGGTTAAGTGAGAAACACTTAACCCTAATCGTCATTTTATGTGAAACCCTAATTTCACTTGGGTTTATTGTTGGGCCTTTCTATTGGGCCTTGATGATTGGGTTGTTAATGGGCCATCCAAGATCAAGCAAATAGACTAGAATAATTAATGGGCTTTGAGGTAAGGCCCATATGAGGAGTTGGGCCCAATTTGGAAAATTGGGCCATAGTTTGGGCCTTCATGATTATGTGATATTGGGCCATTAGAATGTTGAATGTTGGACTGGACTAAATGGAGGGGCCTTATGGTAAGACCTTATAAAGGTTGGGCCCAATTTGGAAAATTGGGCCATATGTTGGGCTTTGATTCATAGTTTAACTTTTAGGCCTTTGGATTGGGCCTTGAGTTGAATCAAGCTAAGATAGGGGTAAAACGGTCCTTTATCCCAAGCTTGGAATTATGATTTTTGTGTTGGAACCCAATTATTAATTGGGTGATGTTATTTTGATGTTGACAGATTCGGGAATCTGTCAGCCAGCAGCCACAACTTTATCCGCCGGACTTCAGCAGTGTGAGGTGAGTCTCCTCATTGTTTGTATGGGTCTAAGGCACCAATGCCGACCCATTTAGTTTATGTATATTAGGAAGACCCGGGGGTTAGCCCTAGGCATTATGCATGAAAGACCAGGAGGCAGCTCCTGGCACACAGTATGTTATTATGTATGGTAGGAAGACCCGGGAGTTAGCCCTAGGTAATATGTATGAAAGACCAGGAGATGGCTCCTGGCGCACTGTATGCTATTATGTATGAAAGACCAGGAGGTGGCTCCTGGCACACTATATGCTGATTAGCTAAGTAGAGTAGTATGTATGCTAGTTGTCTTTGTGATGCTTGCATGGAAGACCAGGAGGTGGCTCTTGGCACTTGTCTGTGAGACCGAGGGGGGTGGCCCCCGGTTTGGCAAGAAAGACCACGTGGCGGCCCGTGGTATAATGACAAGACTATGTTTGGC